ACTGCACGATCACTCGCAATCGCACACCCGGTTCATGGATCGCTTACAATCACGAAGCACAAGTCGGTCCTCCCGGAAGCCATTCACCATTTTTTCGTAGCTTTCCTTCACGGAGGCACTCTTCAGGCCCTCGTGCCTGACACGGCAGGATTAATCATCGAACGGTAGTCGAAAGACCCGAATCATGAAAGATAAATTCATACATACCAAACAAGTTGTAACAGTATATATACATATGTGCTTAGTAATGTGTACATGCGTACATACATATATACATACAGACATACATGCATAGTCACTTGCATAGACCCATACAAGCATGCATGCATCCACACAACCATAGAACATACACATGTATATGTATATATGTGTAGGAACGTAACATGTACACATGTACAAATACATGTGCATGCATACATACATACATACATTACAGACATTGCAAACACATATACATAAATACATTCAGACATCCAGCCCAGTTACAAATATAGCCAAAACACAGGCACTCGGCCAACACGTGGTTCATCACTAGGTTAGATGCATCAATGCACACCTATATACGGCGACATAAGTATAGACATAAACCTCAACCTCCTCCACAAACACATATAACATATGTAGACACACAAAAGCATTCATTCCTGGATTGGTCTATGGGTTCGTTCTTACCTACATTCATATGGACATACACACATATGGCCTGAGCCGGACCACACCTGCGTGCCTGCGGTCCTGTCCCCTTCGCACTTCTGCCCTCGATCTTTGCTCATCTCTCTGTCTCTGTCCGAAACGATCTCGCTCTCTCTCTCTCTGTCTCTCTCTCTCGCTCTTTCTCTCTCGCTCTCTTTCTCTCTCACTCTCTCTCTCTCTCTCTCTGTCTCTCTCTCTCTCTCTCTCTCCCTCTCTCTCTCTCTCGCTCTCTCTCACTCTCCCTCTCCCCCACCTGTCACTGTTTTTGCAGCTTTCATGCGGCTAACTTTCTCTCTCTAAGCCACTCTCTTGCCTCTCTTTGAGCGGGGCTTGGGCAGCTGTTTTATAGTTTCATTGGTCTGGCTGCTTTCGTGTTTGCGTCGGTTGTGTTTGTGTCCGTGTTGTGAACCGATTTTGAAAGTCTGGTGTGCTCGTATGGACACAAGGAGGCAAATGCTGCCGAGAGAGAGCGAGAGAGAGAAACAAAGGCCCACAAACGATGCACAACCTAATGCCTCTTGTGCTTCACCACAAGCGACTTCAGGAGCTCGTGAATATCATCCATATTCTTGGCACCGGTGATGCCGATGTCCACTGGCTTCCGACCAGTAACTCAGCAACAAAGAACATGGATTCGTCTGACGTGCTTGACATGAATCCCACCTAGGAGTGATGCAAGCAAGTTGCAGAGCATGCAAAGCGAAGCCAGCCGAGCCCTCCAGACTCGACCAGCCATCTTTGCCTGAAGCAAACCAGCAATCAACAATCGAACAGTGCTTGCATTTGCAACCGGCCGTGCGAGGCGTGCCTTCTCAAGTGCCGTGGTTTCTCCAGGCTTGTCCTTCTGCTTGCGAAACCGAGCAGCAGTCTCGTGCAGTATGCTCTCCTGACCAAATCGAGATTTCAAAGCATGAAACCGCTTCACTCAACTTGGCGAGTTCATGATTGCATCCAAATCACACATTCGCCGCCAGCTTCGACCAAGTCACTTGGAAGGCACCCATTGAGCCCGGCGATGACATAGCTCATCTGGCGATGGGATAAGTCATCCATGTTCCGCTGCTTGGTGCCTCGTGAGAACTCCTTCTGCGGCAGCTGCAGAATGGAGCCCTTGTCCAGCTCACCAGCCTCGGAGGGTTCCTCCTCCGACGAGCTTGGCTCTCCTGGGAAATCAGAACGAATCACTGATTCTCGAATGAGTGGATGCATGAGGCTGCAACAGACTGGTCTATGGCGAATGGCAACATCACAAATAATCGCATTCAGAATCGAGGTGCGTTTGACCTTCTTGTCCTTCGCCTCTTTTTTCCCACTGCCTCTCGTCCTCTTCAAGGAGTCACCAGCAACACCTCACGAGGCGTGAGAATTACGAACTGGGGAAGCCCAAAAAGTACAAAGGTTTACTTTCCTCGAATGGCATGCCCCCCTGTCGCACACTCTGGCCTGTACCGACAACAGACTCAAGCTTGTCGACGGCGGACCGCATCATGAACTGCTTCGCCTGGGATTCCTCATCCCCGGCCAACTCGATGGACTTGGAGGTGTCCCTCCTGCGACCACTTATTCGGATGCGACCAAAACTCAGTGCAGGATGTGTTGAGGACTTTGAGAAAAGGCACATGAACGACATCGTGGGTTTTGGGGCGAACAATACCCGACCAGCGGATTCGCTGAGCTTGCAAGCGATGGCATGGTTGTGGGTCTGTGCTCGGCTTTAGGCTTCGAAGTTTTGGGCTGGGGTTCAAGAATAGCGGCCTGCGGGTTGACTTTGGCTATGCTGACTAGTGATCTGCCTCCGAGCCGCCTCCAGGGTCTTCGGGTCGAGTGTTGGATCGGCATTCAAAACCCACACAGTCAGACACAATCTCGATCTCGGTTGGGCGGCTACTCCGCCGTTCTAAGTTTGCATCAACACACCTCCTAGACGAGGCGGACTAGCCGCCTGGCGGAATAGCCGCCTATCCTTGCCCTGCAGAAGACTCGCGGGCAAGCCGCGAGGCGGCCCTATCCGCCGTTACGACTAAGATATCCGAAACCCCATTCTGCAAGCCGCCGTCCTCGTGAGTCGTGGCCCACCCATGGGGCTGATCTCTTCAAAAGCAGGGACTCAAAGCGGCTGCGAACAGCAATCCGAGACTCGTTCGTTGCAACGACGAAACTAGTTTCTCAGGCAATAAGTACGAGCTAAGCGGTATTTGCAATGGTGTATCTACATTTTGATGCTGCATCAGGCCCTGGGGTTTGCAATAATAACAATGGTCAAGGGACTGTGGGTCTCACAGCAAAGATCGAATGCTCCGAACGATGAGAATCATGGGTTCAAGGTTGCAATACCACCAAGTTGCGGCGACTAGATGAGCAGAACCGGAAGTTGCTACAGCACTGCTTGCAACCACCTGGGAATGTGAATCTATGCTGTGGCATCACACGATTACCATGAATTGGATGGAAATCATGTACTCATCACAAAGACGACGAGGCGTCTCTTCATCAAAGTCCTTACACAATCTCAACCATCGCGAAGGAATGCTGTTTAGTTTGACCACCACTATGTTGGATTCTGCTCAGGACTGAAACATGTAACTGTTCCCGAGTTGACCAGTTCACTATGTATTTCAAACCCACACTCTGAAGTGGCACGTTGGTGCGAACTGCCACGGTGCCCGAACTGGCATGACAATGGGAACCTATGACTTAAAGTCGTCCCTCTATAGGTACGTGGCGGAAATTATGTACTAATTTGGCGCATGGACCCTCAGGGTGCTTCTTCAGGGCCTTCAAGCATCTTCTGAAGCATTGTCTACCTGGGCTTTGGAGTATACCGTACTTTAATCCTTTTTTCTGAATGAAGCCATTATGAAATAAACGTTGATACTTTTTTCTCCCTGGTTACTTAAAAGCCCAGCTGCCGAGCGGCAGGTGACGAAGAAGGCTCTTGAGGCCCCCCGAGAGATGAAGGATACTTACCCAAAGGGTCCTACGTATTGTTATGGGGGATACTTCCCTAAGTCATCATCGTAATTCCTAATATGGAAACCCTACATTCTACTATATCGGTACATAGGACCTTTTTGGGTTAAAGGATCATGGGACTTAGTAACTAGGGTTATAATTAGGGTAACTATACTTATAGCTACTTATGACCCCAATTAAGGTACTTATAACCTTACCTACTACGTCACATGATCCTCCAAGTAGGGTCCAAGATCCTTTGAGCCGAGTGTAATTTATAGTATAGTCGTGCCCAGAGGGTCCATATGGCAATGGGTGGGTGTCGAAATTAGAGTCCCTTTTTGGGGTCCTTATTATAGTACGGCACCGAATATTTAGAGTTCCCAAAAACGGACCGTAATTTTGACAACCACCCATATACGCTACTATTATGGAATTCGGTTCCCAAAACCATAATAGGGATGGTCTTTCGGGACCTAATTCCATAATAGTAGTGTATATGGACCCTCTGATGTAGATTTACGATGTTGTAAGGTTGAGGATTTAGGGTTTAGGTGTTTGGGCTTCCCGGCGACGGTCAGGGTATCTCGATGTTGTGTATGACAAGATGGCATGCGAGCCTGATCTCGAAACACGATCCGGGCTCTATGCTGTCCCTGCGCTTTAGGATCTGTAGTTGATCCCCAAGACGGGGTCCCCACCTGTGGCATTTCTAAAGGTTTAGGGCCCCATTCCATTTGCCAAGCTCTTTCGGCGTCTTTGGGGACGGGCTTCAGGACGACAATATCTGTTGGCAAAAAGAAGCAGGAGGCTACGCATGCGATCGGCTTGAACTGATACGCTCCTCTCAGAACAAGTGCCGCGAGAACAAGTTGAGTTCAGGGCATCCCGAATGCCCCATCTGATGGTGTAAGCTCTATCTTATGCCGCTCCAAAAGGTTTAGGTTTAGGGTTTACTGTAGGGGTTTAGGGTTTAGGGGCTTAGGGGGTTTAGGGTTTACCTTAAGCCGGAATAACCTACCTTTTCAAGGACTTATATAAGGACATCATAATAAGGAACCCTAGAAAGGTAGGTTATTCCGGCTTAAGGAAAGCTAAACGATTGCCAACAGCCTGGGTTGAGGCTAATGGCTGAAGGGTGAGGGCTTTGAAGTCACGAGTTCCGGACGTGGAAACTCTAATTCCCGATGCACCTGGGTGGTTGTCAAAATTATGGTCCCTTTTTGGGTCCCTATAATAATACGGCACCTAATAATTATTTGGGGTGTCCAAAATGGGGCCATTATTTTGACAGCTACCCACATGAAGGCAGGCACGAAAGCCCAACACCAAACCTCACAGCCCTTTCAATCAAGGACAACATCACGCTGCACAAGCCCGTCTCCGGCAAGGGGGCCTTCAGTGATGCTACGCTTCCTGCCGGCAGTTGGGTCAAGCCAGACAGAGCAGGGGCAAAGTTTGAAGGATTGGGCCCGGGCTTGCCGTCTATTTGCCCCAATGCTCCAAGGAGAGGTTGGTTTAACAGTTCATACAGGGGGTTGATGTGGATTTCTAGCCAAAACGAGGTTGAGGAGGTGTCGGCATGGGGCTTTCGTATTGTCGGAGGGATTGAGGGTTACGAGCTTCGGGACCTAAACCCTAAAGTATACATAGAAAGTATAAACCGTGTAAGGCCTGACCCTAATCCCTGCCTACAGTCTAGGGCAGGGGATAAACGGACCGTGGTTTTAGGAATACTCCCGAGCGCCACTTTGTGCCCTGTTACGTCCAAGGCGTGCAACGGTGAGGATTGGGTTAAGCGGTTAGGCCTCTCATGGCTTTGGGTTCTGGGCTCGGGGGTTTGGGTTGTAAGTTGTAAGTTGCAGCTTTAGTAATCGGGGCTGGTGGAGGGCTTTAGTGTTTGTGAGTTTAGCGGCCAAGAAAGCAATTTTCGCTCGGGGATCCATGCGCAGATCCAAGCAATTGTGATGCAGCATGTGCGCATAGCCGTAAGGGAAGCGAGGGCGAGGGTGTTCAGGTCAGCATCAACTCTGAAACCTACACCCATCTTGATTCATAGCTTAATCCCTACACCCTAAACCCCAAAACCCTAAGCCCTAAACCCTAACAGTTTATGGTAGAGCTTGAGACCCTAATCCCTGAACTCCACACTCTAAACCCTGAAGCGATCAAAGAAGTCCTGCTTCGAAGCAAAGCCAGTACGTTTGAGCGCTGGCCCCGAACCCACCGTAAAATCCCATGAAATCTTTGCGAAACCCTTCTATTCAGAACCCTCGCAAACAACTAAACCCCGGAAAGAAAGGTTCTGGGCCGTCGTTCCGCTGGCGACGATGAGTCCCTCGGCGGAACCCAAAGAGAATCATGGGCTGCTGCCTAGGTTTAAGAGTTACGGGTAAGGGATTTGGAGGTTTCTTAGTCCGGCTTCTGAGACGAGCCCGAAGCCGCAAACCTGGGCAATAACCTGAGCTGCACCCACGGCCTACAGCTTGTTAGTTAGCCCTTCTTCGTGCGACAGGCTACGTCTTGCAGATCATGGCGATGCGCAGCCGGGCATGAATTGTTTTTGGGTGTAGGCCTTAAACCGTAAGCTTTCACAGCTTGCTTCACATGACAAGTCTTCTTGGCGGAGCAGGGCACATCGTAAGCTGAGGGTTACGCAGAGATGTTTTCATCCGGGTGGTCCTGATGAGGGCATTTTGTATCTGTACTCACATGACGAAAAGCCGAGGTGCCCATAAACATGAATTCATATGAATCCTACTACTTCTTATGCACTAAGATAAGACATGATAAGACGCTTGGATGCTTTAAATTAAAGAAGATGTATTTCGGCAGAGCCCCAAACCCTAAACCCTAAACTAACAGCGACATCTCGCTGTATTCTCCAGGACGAAAATTTACCAGCAGTGAGACCAGAAGACAGCTCAATGGAGCTGCCAGGGTAAACTTCCCAACTCACGGTCACGGTTTAGGGGTTAGGGTCCAGGATTAGCTTCAATGCAAACTCAACCTCGGATTCTAGCAAATTCCGAAGGTTGCCTTTTAGTTATAGTACAATATGCCCCAATACCCCATTCTAATTATTAAGGCCCCTATATTAGCCTGATCAACAACTCCTGACTCAAATCTGCAGGCACGGATGCCTGAAACCCCAAGCCCAGCAATCCTCGGAAATCAACACTACCATCCTTCAACAGCTGGCAGCTAGGTTGCATAAGTTTGTGCCACTCTTTGTTTAGACCTTGTGCCGCCGCAGCTACCCTTTGAAGTCCATTTAAGCTCTCGCCATGCCTTCTGAGGTTACTTCAACAATGACATCCTGACCTTCAAGGGCCACGGAAATCTCCTGCCCGACGGTTCAGTCACAGGCTGCGGCCTCAGCCGGGGCCGGGACCAGAGACGGCGGGGTGAACCGTCGACGTCTGAGGCTAGACGGCCGAACGCCAGCTTTGCTATCTGCTTACTAAGCCCCTAAACCCTAAGCCCTTCTCACATGGGTGGGGATGCATGCATCCATGCACGCGTGCCTGTATGTATGTGTACGTGTATGTACATGCTAAGGGATGGATGGATGGATGGATGGATAGGTGGGCGGATGGATGGATGGATGGATGGTGGGTGGGTGGGTGGGTGGGTGGATGGATGGATGGATGGATGGATGGGGATGGATGGATGGATGTGGGTGGATGGATGGATGGATGGATGGATGGATAGGTGGGCGGATGGATGGATGGATGGATGGATGGGTGGGTGGGTGGGTGGGTGGATGGACGGATGGATGGATGGATGGATTGATGGATGGATGGATGGATGGGTGGGTGGGTGGGTGGATGGATGGATGGATGGATGGATGGATGGATGGATGGATGGATGGATGGATGGATGGGTGGATGGGTGGATGGGTGGATGGGTGGATGGGTGGATGGGTGGATGGGTGGATGGGTGGATGGGTGGATGGGTGGATGGGTGGATGGGTGGATGGGTGGATGGATGGGTGGATGGATGGATGGGTGGATGGTGGGTGGATGTGGATGTGGGTGAGTGGATGGATGGATGGATGGATGGATGGACGGATGGATGGATAGGTGGGCGGATGGATGGATGGATGGATGGGTGGGTGGGTGGGTGGATGGATGGATGGATGGATGGATGGATTGATGGATGGATGGATGCACGGATGCATGGATGCACGGATGCATGGATGCATGCATGGATGCATGGACAAGCAGACAGGTATACGTATATACCTATATATATATATATAGATATGTGTGTGTGTGTGTATATAATATATGTATGTGTATATAAATATAAATATAAATATATATATATATATAGATATGAGAGAGGGATACAGAAAGCGAAAATGTAGCGAACATGTTTTTCACAAGGCATCCCCCAGCTCAAGCCGAAACAATCAACGATGCCAGTTACCCTCAAACCGGGCCCCTTCCTTCCAGTCGAAGACCCCCGTGCTAGAACCTTATCGCCTTCCTTAGCAAACCCTATAAACACCCTACAATGCCTTGCTGACCATAAAGTCCACAAAAAGCGATCAAAGCCCAATTCCCCACAGACCATAAAATCATAAAACCCAGCAGAACCACATAGGTGAAACCCCAAACCCGAAGCTCCTTCACCCTAAACCCTGAACCGCCAAACCCGGCTCAAACCCCGAAACCCCAAACCCCCAAACCCCCAAACCTCTAAACCCCTAAACCCGAAACCGTAAATGGGAGGTTTACAGAGCCAGGGCAGCTAGGGACTGGGACGATTGGGCGATGTGGGACTCCCTTAATCCCCAAGGAATGCCCAGAAAACGACAAATGGTGAGAATGGAACTGGCTTCTGGGAGTGGTGATACGCCCCGCCTCTCCAAGGTGCTTCGTGTTCCGGTTGTTGCTGGTGAACCAACGTGCTTGAGCCTGACAGTGGATGTGGAGGAGTCGGTCACCTTTGACTTGGCGGAGACGGACGTGGGCGAGAGTTTGGGAGGGTTGGAGTCTATGGCTCATGAGCAAGCTGAGGGTGCCGTGTCTGATGCACCGGATGAACCTGCAGGCGGTGGCGGAGCCGGGCAGGATCCTAGCGAAGCGGATACCGTTCTGGTCACGCAACCAGGTGGAGAACATGATATGAACGTTGATGTGGGAATCATTCCGGACGACCTCAGCATGGACAGGTTTCAGCAGCTTTACGTGCAGTGGAGGGAAGGGGTGCTGGGAGAATCTCAGATTGCAGCGGAGTTCGGCAACCATGTGCTCGACCTGATACAGACCCAGTTTGCTGTCCTCAATGAGGCGGAGGAGGACACTAATCAGTTGCTTCAGGGAGGACCAGATGATGACGGGTTGCCGGCTGCTACGATGATGGATGGAGAGGGGCAGGGTACCGAGTGAGTTGGGCAAGGAGCTCTCGTGAGATGTGCATCGCTGCTGGTGGATGTGAAGGGTGACGACTGAGGGGTGTCTTTTTCAGGGCCTGCAAGTGTCCTGTATCTCCTGGCCATTCTTGGCCTTGGAGTCGGCCGACTGTCTGGCGGACATCAAAAAGGAGCTTAAAACAAAAAAAACCCAAACCCCGAAACCCACAACCCCAAAAACCCCTAAACCCCAAACCCCAAAACCCCACTTTTGAGGTCTATAAACCCGAAACCCTAAAACCCCTAAACCCCCAAGACCCCAAAGACCGCTAAACCCGAAGACCCCAAACCCCTAAACCCCAAACCCCCAAACCCAAAACTCATTTTCCTAACCTAGGAGCCAGCTCGAGCCTGGAGTCGGTGGCGACATGGCAGGTGCACCGGGGTCCCTTTTGCCGTCCTGAAAGGGAACCTTCAAGGTTTTAGGGTTTAGGTTTAGGGTTTAGGGTTATTAAAAGGGATCTATAGTAGGGTTCTGTAAGGGGATCTATAGTAGGGTCCCTTCCCAGACCCCCGGAAAGGATCCAACAAGTAGATCCTTTAATGGGGGTTCCTTTAAGGGTCCCTTTAAGGGATCTTTAGGGTTTTAGGGTTTAAGGCTTAGGGGGAGTTCCTATAAAGTACCCTTAGTAGCATAGGGCCCCAACTTGGGGAATCTACTTTCTAGATCCTCCGGGGGTCTGGGTTTGGGGGTCCGGAAAGGGAACCTTACAGGGCGACATAAGGGCTATTATCAGGGGATCTATCAGGGCTACTATAAGGGATTCTTTTTGGAGTCCCTTTTTAGTTTACGTCTTACCTAGTATAGTGCTTGGGGACCTAACATCCTATTCTAGTTGTGAAGGCCCCGCCTATAGTGATAAGGGGTTTGGGGAGTTTAGGGGTTTTAAGGGTTTAGGCTTCCTTTTGGAGTCCTTAAGTGGATCCGAGAAAAAAGGAGTCCTTAAGGGCTATTATAAAGGGGATCTATAAGGGCTACTATACGGGGTTTGTAAGGGTGTAAGGGATCTATAGTACGGTTCTGTAAGGAGATCTATAGTAGGGTTCCTTTTGGGGTCCCTTCTTACCTGGACCCAAAGAACCTACCTTTTTAGGGTTCCCTAATATGGTTTCTATATATATATATATACATATATATATATATATATATATATATATTGTTTTTTATGTCCTTCAAAAGATAGGCTAGCCTTCATGGGTAGTTATACGTGGGGTCATAAGTAGGGGAAACTATACTTACAGCCCATACTTGCATTAGGGGCTTTATTAGAACCCCGCTTATCACTACCCATGAACCTGCACGTGTTCCCTGTTGGGGTTGCCTTGAAGCGCACCTTTCTGGCATCCTGCAAAGGTTCAGGGTCCGGGGTTTATGTGTTTAGGCTTTTGGGGCTTAGGGTCCGGGGTTATAGGGCTTGGGGTGTAGTTCGGGCGGGGCGTTTCAAACTGTAGGGGTTTGGGGTTTTCGGATGTACAGTAGGGATATAGGGCTTGAGGTTTTTGGGGTCTAGGGCTTCAGCGGTCGGGTTGCCACAAAGACAAAATTATTCGCTGTAGCATCCAGAGTGGTAGTCACTGGTAGTCATTTTCTACCCTAAGCGCGGCCCCTTGGTTGCGTTTTGCGCCAGTACATTGAGGTTTCAGGTATCTTAGGGGTACTTAGAAATGATTTGTATTTTTGCTTATTATAATCCCTATAACAGCTAAAATTATAATTGTTGCTAGGGTTCTAAGTTCAGTATAGGTACATTGAGGTCTCAGGTAATATGTCGTGGGTTTGGTTTGGGCCGAGGCTCAAGAGAGTCTCTAGCTACCAGAACTTTGACGTTCGCCTGGCCTAAGCCCTACAGTAGAATATGCACTGCTAGACCCGCCAACTGCCCATGGCGATCAAAGCTCAGAATGCGATGTGATGCTCCGTTTGCCCTGCTGGTCGTGGTACCCTCAAAGCCTTTGTAACAGGAACAGCCGCACAGGCCACACCGATGGCTTCCGTTCTTAGCGAACAGAATGTTAAATTAGCTGCTAACGCCTTCCGTTTACCGTTATTGCCTAATGCGTTAGCCTACACCCTAAATTTAAACCCTAGGCCCTAAACCGCCTAAATCCTAACCCCTAGACTCTAAACCCAGCCCCAACGCTGTTTCTGGATTCCTACCCAAAACCCTAAACCGCCGAACACCCCAAAACCTAAACTCTTAAACCCTAAAGACTAATGCAGTTGCAAAAAGGCCCTCAAAAAAAACAAAAAAGACTCTTAACCCCGCCCTAAACCCTAAACCCTCAACCCTAAACCCTCAACCCTAAACCCTCAACCCTAAACCCTAAGCCCTCAACCCTAAACCCTCAACCCTAAACCCTGAACCCTAAAGCCTATGCCCCAAACCCTAAACCCCTAAGCCCTGTTTCCTGTGAAGGTCAAGCGCCGGCGGAAAGCGGCACTTAAGCCGGCGGAGGCGAATCAGGTGTGGTGCCCTAGCCCGGCCTTGTCCTTTTTGGGTTTAGGGTTTAGGGTTTAGGGTTTAAGGTTTAGGGTTTAGGGTTTAGGGTTCCCCCAAAAGACTAAACAGACCGGCTAGTAGACCTTCTCAAATAATTCCTACTAAGGGATATAGGTATAGGGCTCTGTCTATTATTCCTAGAAGGACAAGGGTGCCCTAGCCCGGGGATACGCGAGGTACCTCAGGGTTCCTTTAAAGGGTTACTATAAGGGTACTATAAGGGCTCCTTTAAAGGGTTACTATAAGGGTACTATAAGGGTTCCTTTAAAGGGTTACTATAAGGGTACTATAAGGGCTCCTTTAAAGGGGCTCTATAAGAAACAGTTCGAAGTAAACTCTGAGAGTGCCGATATAAGTAACCACATTTGCACCTTACAGGAGTTTCGAAATGGGAACTTATAGAAACCTATGCAGACTTCCGCGAGGCACGCTTGGCCTTACTTGCAGGTAACGGCCTCATGCCGCAAGTGGCTTTCAAGACCACTCGTATCGGAGGCCTCAAAAGGTGGGATGAAGGTAGGTAGGATGAAGGATCCCTCATATAAGGACTCTTATTTGGGAATATCCCACCTACCTTCATCCTACCTTTGGAGGCCTCCGATCGTAAAGGGTGCAAGGGCTTCTGGCTAAACGGGTTTTGGTATGAGGACCGGGGGGCAGTGATTAGGGCTGATAACGGCTGAAGATGTAATGTAGGGGCCTTAATAATTAGAATAATATAGGGGCCTTAATAAATTAGAGTAATATAGGGGCCTTATTAATTAGAGTAATATAGGGGCCTTAATATTTAGAATAGGGTTTGGGGCCCATCGTACTACAAATAAAAGGTAATTATTAAGGCCCTATAGTAGGCTGAGCTGAGGCGAGGACCTGCTCTGGGGCGTATCCGGCTCGGGTGGTTGAACTTTACGGGCTCAGCGTTGGTGGTGTTCTGTCCGGGTTTAGATTTCAGGGCGGTTGGGCTTCAAAACGGGCAAATCTCGGATGTGATGGGTACAGCCACCGCTGGTATCAGACGTTACGGTCTGTTACATTGGGGGATTGTGTACCACGAACGGCTCTTGCTGCCTGTGGACGTTTCCCTGGACCCCAAAGCCCTCTCAAGATACTGCAGACTCCAGGCTCGTCATAATCTTGCTTACCTCAACCCCGGATAACATTCCCTTCTTATGCAAGTATATTCGGAGTTTATCATAAGGCTACCTAAACTTTATAGTTATAGGGTCCAGGTATGACGTTATGACATATGCAGATGCCTTATTAGCAAGCTTGTTGCTGCTCTCGGTCAGAGGAGTCACTAGCGGTGCCGCTGCAGATGCTGAGTTTATTCGTTTCACTTTGGGGAATCATCATGAGTGGCCTCTTAGAGTTCAGCAGAAGCGTACTGGCCATCAACAGACAAGACCACTCCGGCACTGTTGGCTCAGGACACGGGGAAAGACAAGAAGAAGAAGGAGCAAAAGAAACAAGACATCCGTGACTCGACGGGTTGAGGGTTCGGGTTGTTGCAGCCCTAATTCCTAAACCCGAAGCTCTTCAGCACCGACCTCCCATGTCGTCGCTCGAGCATCATGATCCTCGTGCCCCCGCCTGCTTCCACGGTTTTAGGTCCTAGTTGGGTGTCAGTTCACCGACTCCCGTTCCAAACCCTGCACGCTAAATCTTGGGGTTCTATATCTCTGACAGAAGACCGGAACCGCCACCAACAGTAGAAATTGTGTCTCTACTTTTTGCTAGGCTTTTGGACTTTAGGGAATACCTTCAAGCAAGGATGCTGGAGTCCCTGCACTTTGAACCCAAACCCCCCGGCTTGTGAGACCTTATGCCTTGTAGTTTTCAGGGCCCGCAAGCCCTTCCTGTGTACGTTGCCGGGAGCTGGCATCTTTGAGTGACTTTCCCTGGCCAGGGATTTAGGGTTTTATATAGGGGTTTATAGGGGGGTTTAAGGGTTTGGAGGTTTAAGGGTTTAGAGGTTTAAGGGTTTAGGGCTTTATGGTCAGGGTTCTTAGAGCTTTGTGGCAATCTGCTACTTTTGCTCTTCGAGGCTGATCGAGGATTTGCTGGAACATCGGGCAGCTCCATCCTTGTAGTTCCTTTTCTTGGTTTAACCAGGTTTATCGTTAGGATCCTATAAGGTAATCCAAAAAGGAAGTAGAATGGAGACTATAAGCATGACACATATCAGCCTGGAGAGCTATAGGTACTAATCGTATGCTCTCCCAACCACTATCCTACACAACTACTATACTAAACCCAAGTTTTGGACCCTCAAGTTGTGTAGGTTTGAGCCTCTGCGGTCCCCCAAGTCATCGCTCCGGGATCGGCTTTGAGGCGTGAGCCGACGTCCATGCCCACCCCTCAACACCTAAAGCCCCACAAGCGCCCCCCCCCAGACCTTCCAAAATCCCTTAATTAAGAACTATACCGATAATTTAAGGTTGTATCCTGTGTTTAAGGGATCCTGGAAGGTCTGCGCATTAAACTAAGCCCACCCTAAACACGATAAGCCCTACCCTAGACTCCAACCCTAAGAATCTAACCCACCTATTAGGATGCCCAGTAGTACCCTTATTCCCTTTTTGTAGTCCTAGGTTCCTTATAAAGTTACCCAATACCAAAAGGGAACTCTTTTTATTCCTAGGTTACTGGGCATCCTAGCCTAAAGTAAACCCATGGCCCGAACCCGTCATCTCCACCGCCCAAGGCGCGCTTTTGGAAGCCGCACAGTTGCCGGAGCTCGACCCCATCCAACCTGAGGCCCACTTAAGAAGCGAGCGCAAGTGCAAGGACTTTGTCGGGACTTCCTGCTCTTCTGTTTGGAGAGAGTGGGGACTTCTGGGTTCAGGGTCTTGGTGTTTGGGTGGCTTAGGCAGTACAAGGCTTCGGGGTCAGCTTAAGATTCAGGTTCGAAATATTTCAAGTCGGGGCGTTTCGGGCTACCTAGGGTTTCCCTAACCCCAAGTAACCTACCTTTTTAAGGACTTATAAAAGAAATCATATTAGGGAACCCTAAAAAGGCAGGTTCCTTAGGGTCCAGGTTCAAGATTTGAATTAGGGGCTTCCTGAGTTCCAGGCTTCGGAGGATTGTAGCACCCTTTCTACTTGAAACCCTAGGATGCCCAGTGTTACCCTGATTCCCTTTTTGTAGTCCCAGGTTCCTCATAAAGTTACCCAATACTAAAAAGGGAGCCCTTGTCATTCCTTGGTTACTGGGCATCCTAGAACCCCACCATACACTTATGCGACAGAACTGTCCATTTGCGGGCTACCGGCATAGGGTTGACGGCTACCAGCGCAAAGCTCAACCTGCCTTGACAAGACCCTTTAAGCCCGCCAGGACCACGCACAAAAAAATACCGGAAACCCAAACCACCCAAAAGCCAAAAACCCTAAACCCCTAAAGCCTTAGCCCTAAAACCCTAAACCCTAGAACCCTAATCCCTATGAGCCCTAACATCTGAACCTAAAGCCTAGGCCCTACGAGCCTCGAACCCGAAAGGTGGTGCCTCGGAATCAGCGCAGCTCACACGGCACCCTTCTACACGACACTTGGAGAAACCCGAGACCCTAATGTAGGGGCCTTAATATTTAGAATAGGGTTCCTTTAAATGGGTCTAGAAGGGTTACTATATGGGCTTTGATTATAAGGGTGCCATAATGTAGGAGCCTTACTTGAAGGATCGTGTTGTTTAGTATCCGAATGGGCGGTTTGCGGTGGTTAGTAAAGCCTGCAAGTGAACTTATAATCGGGCTATCTTGACTTATAAGTGTACCATGTTGGGTAAGTGTGTTTTTGAACTTAGTAAGTGAGCGAGGGTGGTTATAAGTAGTTGTTTGAGTTAATAAGCACTTAGCACATTTATAACTGACTTGGGACAAATGCTGTAAGTGGAAGATAAGTACTTGGACACGGTTATATCGGTTATCTAAGTCATTTATAAGTACTTATATAAGTACCCTAACTTCATCGGGGCAAAGCATTTGCAGGTCGGTGCAGCTGGTGGTTGCCGACGTCGACGGCATCGAAAGGTGCTTCCGCCCCCCGCTTCTTTGCAAGTGATGAGTTCAGTGTTCCGAGCATGTTTGGCCATGTCGAGACTCCCATCATGAGAGACATGCAGTGATGCTTGCAGCTTTCATGCAGTGTTTGCATGTATGTGTATACACTTGCAGTCTTTGCATCACGTGTACATGCAGTGGTATACGATGCCCTGCATGTGTATATAGGAAGTCGTCGTGCAGGGCAATTTGCTCGCCGGCAGGCTGTCACGACATTCTTGTATGACTTTCAAACTGACAGTTCATATCTGCATGCAGCATCTTGGCTGTGACAGCACTCACTGCACGCACACACCGACCGCTTCCGAAACACAGCATGGCTTTGTCTGCTGATCTCGTTGCGGACATCTCGTTGAAGCTGGCACAGGTGCAAGAAGGCGATCGACTTGTAAAGACGGTGCATGCGGCTATCAGCCAGCTTGAGTCGCAGGGCCACGTCTACACGATGCAGCTTCAACCGACCATGGTCGGGATCAGTTCCCAGAACCGCGACGGGAGCGGGATTAATCCCGTAGATGTCCACGATCTTCTGGGCGACATAGTTCAAGCCGGCTGGCTTGATGCCAGGGTCCAGGCCATCGCCCATGAGCCAACTGGGCAAGAGGACATCGATTGGAATGTCCGTCTCTTCCAAAGCATGCATGATCGCTGTGGGCCCCTGGAGCCCACGATGATCAAAGCACTCTCCCTGGCAGGGTCACACACAAACTCGGTCTTGCGGTGCTTCCACTATGAGGTCATGCATGAAGGAGACGAGACCGTGTGTCATGATGGAAGACTCAGCATGGAGTTGCTTCGCAAGCACGATCCGGACTTCGCGAGGGCGGTTCGCGAAGGAGTCGTTTGGAAGATCTTGTCAAAGCACGTCGCTGCCCAGCTGCCGCAGCTGTTGGGACTTGTCCAAAGGATGGGAAACGCCACACTTCACCGTGGCGAACACGAGCTCCAACTGATGAGACGGCTGCATCAGACTTGGGTCCAGATGAGCTCTCAGGGTTCTGTGGACTTCCTGGCACTGAAGAGCAAAGTCACCACGGGGAAGTCCGTGCATGGCAAGTCCATGCCGCATCTTTACAGTTTCGTGTTGAAGACTGCGGGTGGCACAGATCCGTTCTTGCTCAACGAGACTGAAACCTTCGTTAGGTTGCATTCCCCCAGCACACGTTCATTGGGACCTGGTTTCTGGGAGAAGGTCAGTGCCGATGTCAAAGGTTCCAACCAATTCCCACGGTTCCGGCATGCCATGGCCACTTGATTCATAAGCATGCATGCATGTACAGGTCACATATGGGATTGCAAGGCCGAGGTTGCTAGTTGTTGTTGTTGTTGCTGCTGCTCTTAGGTGAAGCTTGCATACTGCAAAGAAGCTGTGGGGTCTGCCGAGTGCAAGAAGATGTTGAACAAGGATTCAACGGCCTCTGTCAAGGAGGCAGACACCATCATGAGCACGTGGCGAAAGCTTGTGACGGCCCTGCCGGATGGTGCAGAGCTTCTCATGAAACCCGAAGTGCAGACCTGCTTGTCCTATGGGGACATGTCCTTGGCTGCCTTCACCCTGAATGTGATGTTGCCCGGTGAAGACTTGAAGAAGTATAAGACAAGCCAATCCCTCGCCCATGACCTCGTCCTGATTTTGGAAGGCATCCTCAAAACAGACCTGAATGGGCCCTGGGCGGCACACAAGGTCGTAGATTCGGGTGAGGCATCGGGTTCCAAACAGGTGGCAGCACCCAAGGTTATCATGAGGGAGCTGAGCTCCGACGGCTCGGTGAAGGATTCAGCGCAGATGCTGGCCGAGTCCGGCTTTTCAGTCGGCCAACATGTCCGTCGCAAGGCGGATCAGGAAACTGGCCAGGTCATGGCGATGGAGCTTGGCCGTGTCAAGCTGAAGCAGCCCTCGGGCTCCGTAGTGCGGGTGTCGATCGACAGCTTTCTCGCAGGGGACTGGCAGGTCTTCACACCGAAGCCGGAGCCCCAGACGGTGAATGACTTGTCGGTGTATTCGCCTTTGAACTTCCCCGAATACGAGCGACAGATGCTGTTGGCATGCTTGCACATGGACATGCATGAGCTCATGCAAAAGCACAGCACGAATCCCATGCTGCAGAAGCTCATGGTCACTTTGAAGCCTCGTAAGTCAGTCCAAGCCACGGCATTCATCCCGAAAAACAAGCTCATCATGGTCCCCATGGGTTTGACGATCAAGCACGGTCAGAAGAAGCCCGAGGATGCGATTTTCGATATCATCACCCCCATGAGTGACTACTTCTTCTGGATTGTTTCGTTCATTCAGATTCCGAAAGCCGAAGGGGATGCTGGCTTCATCAATCCTGCATTCCTTGTGCAGCCGCTTCTTTTGAGTGACACTTGGAATTGCGAGGTTTCGCATGTCAAGTCCAATCGAGACAAGAAGGTTCAACTCCCCATCCTGAAGAACACCCTGGACCTGCAGCAGGACGATGTGCTCTATATGCCAAAGGCCGAGAAGACGGTGCACGTCGAGGCATTGCAGGCTGAGACCCCGCCAAGGAAGCGAATCTGCTCCAAGAAGCCGGGAGACTCCTGAAGCCCATGTGATGCATGTCATGCCATTTGAGCTCACGGGCACTTCCTTCATTGCTTTGCAGCTGTGCTGCTCATGAAAGAACATGCACTTGCAGCCTGCAGGAAAGATGCCCGAGCCCGTGTATGTGTGCAAGTGTGCATGACTGCGAGCACGATTGCATGTAAAAGCGCCAAAAGCCATGGCATTCATGATTGCATGTCATTCACGAAGTTTTGCAGCTCCAGCTTCATCCGTGATTTCGTAGCTTTGCCAGCATGGAGCCGGAGCATGAAGATGAGGAGATGACCGCACCCACGGTGGTGACAAAACAGATCGTCACATACGGGTCAGGGCTCACTTGGATCCCGGAACAAAAGACGGCCGAGGGAGTCACATGGTTCAAAGTGAGCAAGTGGGATCGAGGATTGTTTCGGTTCGTGTACGGCAAGGGCTTGGATCTGAGGAAGAATACGGACAATCAAAACTTGTCACTCGACACACCTTTCTTCGAGAACATGTTGGCCCGTCGCCAAGAAGCATTCAACGAGGCTATCTCCGAAAGACTCAAGGATGAAGAGAATGACGAAGCCCCACAGCCGGAGAAGGCCCAGAAGAAGACCAAGAAAACCAAGGAGTTCAAAGCTACACCGAAGCATGAGATTTATGCACCCCACAGCATTCAGATTCACTTGCCCGGCGAGACCGAGGATGGCAACAAGGTCCAATGCCGAACTTTGTTCGAGGGGGTGGGCACTCGGACTATGTGGCTGGAACTGAAGGACGATGTCGTGAAGCACATCCAGACCAGCTTCAAGCATTCTGAGGCCAAGCCACGAAAGACGATCAAGCCTAGAAAGGCCAAGGCCTACAGGAAGTAGGTTTTCGTCAGCAGGGCAATTTGCTCGTTGGCAGGAACATATATCATGTATGCACATGTCGCATAATTTTCTCTCGCTGGCATGCAGGAACTTCATGTGCCAAATATGCCGGTTGCTGCAAGTGCTTGCTTCCTCGTGGTGCTCGGTTGTGTGCATGTGCAAAGCTCTTCTCATGTATATCGGTTGCAACATGTGGCTCAGGCTTTTAGCTTTGTGGGTGTGCAGCTGTAGCCCGTTTTGACCATGTCGTGCACGGGCTTTAGCTGCATGATCGGCCCTGATGTGGAGGAGGCCTGGTTCCTGTCTCCCATGCAACCAAAAAGATGTGTGTGCTGGTCAGGACTCACCGCAATGGTGGGCCTTTGAACGGTGCGGGCTCCTGGAGGTGTTGCTGCCGAACGAGGACAGTTCCCTTATAAGGCCCTTTAAACCAAAAAGGGCATCCTTTTTTATTCCATGCAGGACGCCACATGGAGCAACAGCTCAGCCATCCTCGGTTGGCACAAGCAGAAGAAGAAGTGGAGAATCCTGGACATGTTAGGCCGGGGATGTGCCATTGTCCCACATTTTCATCGTCTCTTCTCTGCAGGCAACCTCCTCTACAAGCACGACAGCCGCGAGGAGACACCACCCCACGAAGGCATGCAGGTTTTTACAGGGTTGTGTTTTCAAGGGTTTCGGGTTTAGGGTATATATGGGTTCATGGTGTATGGTTTATATAATATATGGTGTTAGACGGAAAATCAATATATGCACGTATATATATATGTGTATGTATATATTATATCTATATAATGTAGGTGTGCAGCATGTGTACACACAAAAGGCGCTCAGGTTCCTCACTTTTGCATGTGTTTATACATACATACATATCATACACACACACACACATCTGTATACACATGTATGTGTGTATGTATGTATGTATGTATGTATATATGTATGTATGTATGTATGAATGTGCGACATATATATATATATATATATGTATATAGGTTTATATACATATATATATATATATGTATGTTTCGTATACATATATATATATATATGCCCATACAT